CTAATCCCCACAAGCTGCTTACGGGCAGAGGCCAGGAGCACCAGGAGGGCAGCGACGAGGAGGGCCCGGGGCTGCATGGCGCCTTTGTCCCTGCAGGGAAGGTCTGGTGAGGGGAGCTCCAGGCCTGCAGGGGTGCACCGAGTTCCAGGGCACCGAGCTGGCTCCTTGCAGGTGGAGAGCCTGCTCCCACTGAACACTCAAACGCGGGAGGTGAAGTCTTCCCGAAGCAGACACAGCCCCCAGGAGGGAGGCGTGGGGTGGAGCGGAAAACCCACCAGACCCGGAATCAGGACACCTGGGTTCTGGTCCATCTCTGCCACTAATACGCTGTGTGAACTGCCCTGTCCGGGCCTCTGACTTCTGTCAGGGATAGGACTGGGGTGTCCAGTCCCAAACATGCGACATGCGGACGAGGAAAGTGTGCAGACCTGGAGGCAGCTCCAGCCCCAGCTCTGGGCTACTTTCTACGTCGCTTTGGGCAGGTGACCTCCTCTCCATGGGCCTCAGTTTCCCCCAGTGTGCAATCGGAGTGGGGGCCTCCATCAAGCCCTAAGTCTTCCTGGGCTCCTCTCAGGCTTTGCTGGCTGGGCACGGGGACCCTCTTCTGCCCGTCTCATCCTGCTCTCCTGTCCACCACCCTCCCCCTCCCCGCCACACCCAGGACATTACCTGGAGCAGCTGCTGCTGGGAAGGAACTGAGCAGGCAGAGCAGAGGGTTCTGACCTGTTTTATATTGTCCCCGGGGCAGTGGGTGCAGAGGATCTGGTGACCTGGGCAAAGGTCACCTGCTGACCAGTCTAGACCAGGGCCTCAGGCAGGGTGGCCAGATGCAGCCAGGCCTGCTGGGAGGGTTGGGAAATCTCTAGAAGGCCGTGGGTGCCCATGCCACTCTCCTGGTACCCCTATAGCCCAGATAGGTTCAGGAACTGGGGGTGTATGAGTCTGGAAAGACCCCATTCCTTCCTAGCAGCCTGGCTCCTCTGGAAGAGGCTAGTGAGAGCAGAGGGGCTTCGGGACAAGCCAGGGGCCTCTGGGCCCACCTTTGCCTTTCACACTCG